TCCATACAGGCACAGCATTCCTAATTTGCTAGATGTTTTCAAGGATAGAAGTATTACTTCTGTCCTTTCCCTCTTTTTAAACATTCCTTTTAAATGAAAATTGGGTGTGCCACTTCCAAAACTGTGGGTGTTTGGGCATATTTTGAGAAGAAGCAAGCTATTTATTAAACATGTATAAATATTCATGTCTACCTTCCAGGAATCATGACTGGTCTGCAGCCTCCTCTCCCTACCTCCAGAAGTCTCCCTTCAAGGGAAAATACCTAGGAGCAACAGCAGTGTTTTTAAGAGAGGTAAAAAGGCTGGCTGGGGAATTTTGGAAGTTGAAATCCTCAAATCTTAAAGCAGAGGAAGTTGAAAAACACTGCTATAAACAATGATCAAATGCCCATAGCTTTTATGGTATTAACATGCTGTTGCGTGGAGAGGACTTGTCAATGATTTGAGGGACAAGTGCAATGGTGGGATTCAAAACTTTTACTACCGGTTTTGTGGGCATGGCTTGGTGGGCGTGGCCATGTGACTGGGTGGGCGTGGCTTTTTTTGCAGCCCCCGCCTGTTTTGGGGAGCTTCTTAGCCACAGAGGAGCCTCTGGGGAGGGTGTATTTGCTCCCCTAAGACTCCTCTGGGGCTCTGGAAGAAAAGGAACAGAGCATGGGAGGAGCACACAGCATCCCTCCAAGCTCCGTTTTGGGAGCTTCCTAGCCTCAGAGAAGCCTCTGGGGGGCGTTTTTGCTCCCCTAAGGCTTTTCTGGGGCTCTGGAAGGCAAAAAGTGGAGGGGGGGGACTGAGCTCCTCCCTCCATTTTTTGCCTTCCTGGGCCTCAGCAAGGGGAATCCTGGCACAGCTGATCTTATCTACAGCTGATTATTGGGAGGGGAAAAAAAGAAATACCTTAGGCGAATGTCAGGCAGGTGGGTGGGGTGAGCGAGCATTGGGCGGGAGGGCGACCGGGTGGGGGGGGGGCGTGGCCAGCCAGAACTTACTACCAGTTCGGTGACCCACGCCAAATTCTTGCGACCGGTTTGCCAGATCTGGTGCGAACTGGCTGAATACCACCACTGGACAAGTGTTACGAAATGTTTAATTCATGATAGCAGGTATAAGTCACAAATGTCCTTTTTGAAGAGGCCTATTGACAGACCAGAAAATGCCAAAAGAAAAGCAATAAAGATGAAAACTGATGAAAAGTTTTAAGTGGCTAGACCTCCTAAGCTGAAAAGATAATTAAGAGGTGATCTGGATATCTTGATTCGGCTTTCCATCTTTCCGAGGTTGGTAAAATGAGGATCCAGATTTTGGGGGGCAATATGCTGATATTGTAAACCACCCAGGGAGTGCTGTAAAACATTATGGGGTGATATATAAATGTAAGTGCTATTGCTATTTTCTCATAAAATTTGCCTACAAAAGGAAAAGGATTCCATAAATTGAGCAGAAAACTAGCTAAGCAAGCAAGTTTCTTATTATGGGGTGAAAAGAAATGACAAAAGAGGTGTAAGGTGTTATTTCTTCCATTATACTACAGCTACTAAAAACTGACACCAATTCCCTATCTTTTGAAGTGCAAAACGTATCTCTGAATTTTGGTGTTACTGATCAGAGCAGAATAAGAGTTTTATTCTTATAGTTTGAGACAGAATATGTCATAAATTTGAATTATGCCAATATGCGTAAAATGCTTTTGAGATTATTACTTTAAAACTGTATTTGGAAATAGCTGATAAGGAGATTTAGTCAAGTGTCACACAGCATTGCAGTTTTAAAAAATAAACTCAGCAATTTAGTGATTGCAGTAAATGCATGGGCTCTCTTCCAAACCTTGAGGACTGCATCAATTGCCAAGATGAAAGGCAGGAAATGCAGATGTATGAGTGCTCAAACATCCACAATGCCTGACATGCAGGTTTCACTTTTCCTGAGAAACAGTTGATCTGGGAAGGTCAGCAGCTGTCTTCTGATGGTAAACACATAATGCTAATCTGGAGGCTAGTGAGAAACCCCCAAAGCTCCAGTGTCTGCATTTCTTGGGTCAATCATCACCTTTGGAGGTCTATTGCCAAACTAGCAGTTAAATCTTATGATGATGTTTGTGGATGTAGTGGAAGCCCGGATGGTTTGTGAAAGAATTAAAAAGTATAGAGAAATATGGAGTGTGCAGTTGATATAAACTAGATTGTTATACTTCTTCCTCTTGCCCTCATATATGGCTTTATTTCCTACAATTTCTTTCTTTCTCTATGCTTTGCACTGTTGGAAGAAATATCCTTCTGGGTTCAGTTCCAAGTGGGGAAAAAGACACTGGAAACATGGAGACTATTTTGAAGGTTTAATGGTGGACAGGATCACATGGCCTGGAGCTCCAGAGTGAAAAGGAAGGATGATCACATGCTTCAAGGTGAAGGAAGAGATCAAGAAAAAAGGGCTGATATGCTGAGAGTGCCTGGGTTTATAACCTTTGTTGGGATTTGAATTGAAGCTTGTTTCTAATTGGTTGTCAGACTCCCATGAGGCCATACAGGGGCAACTCTTTAGGCTGTCCTGAGTTCCAGGCTTGGTTGAGCCTTGCTGGATGATGATGCACTGAAAGGGCTTTTCAGCAATTGCTATAGCTTTACCTGGAGATCTTTGTTATGTAAAGTATTCTGGCCCAGGCCTTAATGCCCCACCCATTAACCAAGGTGGGGGTGAGCTTCTACTTCTGAAGTGAGTTTCTGCTTCTGAGTTTCTACTCTTTTTAGGGGAAATATTCTGTCTTTTTAATATTTCCTAGGATATTTCAATTTTCTAGGAGAGAGGTGGGTGCTAACTTCCTACAGCATAACATTATTTAGCTTCCAAAGTAACAACAGCTTTATGGATATGCGTATATAATAAGTTACATATAACTGAATACTTGGGAATCAATGATTGCAAGTTTACAAAAGAAATGAAGGAAAAATAATTTAAGACTCTGAAACAAAATTAAAGTTCAAATCTATTTTGGGGGTAGAGGGATTATATATGCAATGAATTACATGCCATATAAAAAGAAAATACTGTATTTGGATAGAAAACAATCAAAAGAAAAGCAAATTAAACTTTCAGAGTGAAGTAAGGGCAATGTCAATGTTAAATAGAACAAAACAAGAATGGAATTTTGAGGAAAAATACACTTTTACATTGAAGACAAAATCTGAAATCTGCAAAAAAAGATTAGTATTTTGTAAATGAAGTAATTTATGAAATCATATAGTAGTACTAAAACAGCCACCAAATTTTTAGACTTTGAGTTAATAGCTTCACTAGGCCCTTTACATAATCATGTGTATTATTTCAAATGTGAAATACCCAATTAACATAATTCTCCCCTTTTCCTTGCCAATCCATGTTTTATAACCAAATCAAAACACCTACTTCCCATCAGTGATGAAAAAAAAATCCTAGGCATATTGTTTCTCATTTTAAAATCCCCTTAATTATGGCATCATTATTATAATCCCTAGTAGAAAAAAGGGGGGAATTGTGTCAGCTGCTCTGACCCTTAAACACATTTACACTGTTTTGTGGAAAAGGAGATTACTTTGTTGTAGAAAAGGATAATAGATTCATAAGCAGAATTAATAAAAAGAGCATCTGCTATTGTACATGCCTGGCTACTTGCCAACTCTACATTTTTTAAATGAGAAAATTGTATGGCAAAGCACATCTCTCATCAGTCATGCTTTACATGTTCCGTAGCCACTTTTCTGATCTGTGTCCAGTGCTAGATTCTATAGCTCACACTTCATTGTGTAGTTTTCACACTGCATTGTGTAAATGCAGTCAAATTTACCACTACTGTTACATTTAATATACAGAGAATAGAGAAATTTATATAATATGCAGTGTTAGAAAACTCTGGTTCAGACACCTGGTAATCTGAACATATTGTTCACCAATAAAAACAATTTTCAGTTGACTATCCCTTTAGGGAAAGTGAAGCGGCTTAGGGTGGCAGATGTCAGAAGCAGAGCTCATTTAATCATGGTAATACCCATAATAAAATACACACAGGAAGTCTAAATAGTTTGTTCTATAAAAAGACAAAATTTCTAAAACAGGAGAAAGGAGCAGCAGAAGATTCTGGGTTTTGTATTTGCATAATATAGCCTCCTTTAAAAAAAATTCTATACAAAGTGAAGGAAATCGACAGCTGCTTAATTTATATCCAATAGAAATATTCATGCACTGACTGAATAGCAACTAGAAAAAACACTGGAAATCATAAAGGCCTGACCTAAATCAGTTTTGTTGTTCTAAGCTCTTCTGGGTAAAAAAAACAAAAAACATATGTATTTCAGTTTTAAAAGAAAGGTGTTGATTCTTGCAGATAATTTTCCATTTTCTCAACACCTCAGTGATTTGTTATCACACTACAGTATACATTATTAACGCTCTAAAAGTAACACCTTCCTGAGCATATTTTTATATAGAAACTCATTCTCAAAATATTTCAGCTGGATGCCATCTTCTAACCTGTTAAACTCTCCTCTTGCGGAATGCAAATATAATGTACACTTTCATTTGAGGTTGTTTAAAAATTCTGGAAATTTAATGATGCCTTTAAAAGAAAACCCCCGAAATTTATTCAATAATGTCCTTTTGATAAATCCGTGTCCTTCAACACACACCAATTATAAATTATAGCAAAAGGTTGTCTAAAGTTTTGTAACCCCAGTAATGTACAACCTTCTTTTTAATACTCAAAAGTTAAGATGTTCTACTTAAATATGTACCGATTTCCATTCTCTTAAAAAAAAATAAGGTTCCATCCAATACTCTGAAAACACGAATTTCCTGATTAGCAGTTTTAGAATCTGTTAAGGCCACGTTGCATGGAGGGAATACGAAGAATCTTCTCACGAATGAATGGAGCAGCACCATTTTGAGCTCACCGCTCAGCAAAACTACATTTCCCAGCATGCTCGGGAAAAGGGTTCGCGCCATTTTGTCGCCTTCCTTGCCCTATTGCTGGAGGCGGCAGCGGAAATCATCGTTCTGGAGGTTTTTCGCGGCCTGCCGTGATGGCTCTTTTTCCTGCTTTTGCCGATGCTGCTAATGCCGAGGACGTACAAACAAGCGAAGACTCGAACAGAGGTAATGACGTTGTTCTTATTTATGTGCCTCAGTAGCAAGCGGACAAAGAAGCCCCTCTTCGTTGAAACCATGTTTTGGTGAACGTTTGTTCCTTAGATGCCCTTTGCGTTCTCCAAGCCGAAGTCTTCCGAATGGATGGAAATACAACTCCCAGAATTCCTCCCCGCTGAGCCAGGCTACGGTGCGCTGGCCAGGATTTTTGGGAGCTGTAGTCCCAGCGATTCTGGAGCCCTCTAATCTATACCTGGTAGTGCTTGATGTGCGCAAAAAAGTTCTGAAACCATTCATTGGCAGTACAGCTTATTGACATATTGAAAGGCCCTTGCTGCTGCAGCAGCCCAAAGTTACAATTAACTGGATCTGTTAACAAAGCTGCCCGTAAACTAGGGCAGATAGTCCTTCCCTGTTAAAGTGACAGAGGAGATCTGACTAAACAGAAAACATGCATTGGGTACTTTATATTCCACAGTCTTGTGATTAGTCTGATAAAAGGGTCACATGGTAAGAATTCTGAAAAATCCATATGGCCAATTTCCACATACTTTTGGATTCAAAGAGGGCTTTTGAGAAGTGGGGGCTTCCTTAAAGATTGCTGGTTGCATTTCCTCTTTCAATGAGGCAATAACATCTTACAGATTTCAGAAAACTATCTCCCCATCCCAGCTGCTTGAAGAAGCCCAGAAGGACAGGGTTCCAGTTCATAAGTTGCAGAGGACATCCTACACGTTCCTTTAAGAAATCCTTGTTGACCAAGGAGGAAGATATCCTTGTTGCCTTTGCCCAGTCAGGTCTCATGTAATACAGGCCAAGCATATTGACATTGAGAGAGCAAGGGATTTGCAGGTAGATGTGTGTTGTAAGCAAGGAGCAGTACTGTGCAGAGCAGCATCAATTTTTCTCCACAGATTTTGGGCTTCTTACTGTATCTGAACTGTGCAAACTTAGGTGATTGTCAGGAGGAAACAAAGGTGCTCTCTTCTGGTTGTCTGGATACGGCAGCCCCACTACCTGAACTCATGAATGGACATAAGTGGACACAATCTTATTGCTGGCTGAAAAGCATGTTTAGAATTGCTGCCTACTTTTGGTAAATTATAGCTTCACATCCATAACCTATCAATCTGTGCTGAAACAAATTAGTATTTATTTAAGAGGCAAAGAAAAATAAAAAAAGATTCATCCATAACTGTTAAAAAAAAACCCAATGACAGTTTAATTGTTGTGTTAACAATCTTTCTTCTGAATCTTTAGATTTGAACTGGCTCACAAACCAAAGCTTCTGCAATGAAGATGCACTGAGATTGCATCAAAATGTTTTAGAAATTACCCACTGTGCTCCTCCGCTCCAAAGGTAGTATAATACCTTTAGCTTTGTTGTTCATAATGTACTTTTAAAACAGAAAAATATAGGCAGTTTTACCTTTCAGTTTGGTTTCTTATATATTAATAGCATCATCTGTGGGGGAGGGGCGGGTTGCACATCATGTGGGTCAGTCTGACAAAAGCAGGATTGTGACAGGTGACAGTGGCAGGAGCCCAAGGATGCCCATGCTTATATAATTGCTATATCCTGTATTTATGCACACTAAATCACAAAGACTATTGTTTAAAATTCTCTCCTTCCTTTAAATAAGATGATAAGTTCTAATTCTTTGGTGAAGATGGAACAATATGATCATTTGTCATTGCTGCTTAAATTAGTGTTTTTTTACTCTTAAAATTACCTCTTAATTTCATTTTCTACTTAATTTCATTTTTTTCGATAGAAAATCTTTGTATCTTTGTTCCAGAGGTGAGACATTTTGGAAAATTGGTGGTTGGGATAATTGGATTTCAGATACCTCAAAGTAGAATGTAACTGTTTGTCCAAGACAGGCAAATTCATGATTTGTAAGAAAAATGTAATATGTAAACTAGCTGTGAGCTTTATAATTGCAGCCTAAATTTTCATATTTAATGTGTTTTGTGTTTGGAAAAACAGAACTTTAAAATATGCTGTATAATCTGTGCCTTCTTTAGATTTCAACTTTCATTTAGGTACATATTTTGTAGAATACCTTCTAGATGTTTCTGTTTTGCAATAGGTATAGGAATATCACTGATAATGTGACTTATCTGTTTATAAGCAATACAGCCACCAGTTTTGAACTCCCTGGAGAAAATGAAGCCAACAAAAGTTTTCAAGCATCACCTAAAAAAAGAAAGAAAAAGAAAAAGCAACGAGACCACAAGAAAAAGAAAAGAAAAGAATGGACCACTAGTGGGTCTGAATCTGAAGATGGGAGAGAGGATAGAAATAATGAAAAAAGAGGAACAGAATTGAAGTACGTAAGTACATTTCATTTCTGAACTTGCACCTCGTAGATCCAATCATTTCTTCCTTTTTCTGAATAATATTAGTGACAAAATTCAGGTATGAGAATAAAATAATTCATGCATATTTTTGCTTTTTTGAGTCTGGGGCAACTCCAAGTAAATGTGTATAGGATTGTACTTCAAATCAGTGAGAATTGTCAACAAAGCATGCATTAAAATTAGGATGTCTCCTTTCTTTTATGGACAAAAAGACACAAATAGATTACAGTGTAATTTGTATGGTCATCTTATTGGAAGTGTCTCTGAGAAGAAAATAAAAAAAGCAGTGGTTTGTTGGATTGATGGGCAGGGAAATGAACAGGGATTGTAATGGAGTCAAAGGAAAAGGCCCGTTTGTTTTGTTATTACATATATACCAGCTCTTTCATCTGGGAATTCGAGGCATAACACTTACGGGCAAGCTATTGCTTTTTGTCACCAAAATAACAGCTTTGTAAAGTAAGATAGGCTGAGAGAGAGTGAACTGGCCTGAAGCCAGATTGTGAGCTCAATAGTCAAGGTAGTCTCCCTAATCCATAATACTTTTATGTAGAGATACAAGTCCTGACTTGACTGTCAAGATCAAGCTGTAATGATAGCCATCTAAAATAAGTGTGTGCTGTATTATTAATGTTTAGAATAACTGGTAGCCAGTCTCCATACCACTGAAATCAATGAATAATTGGCTGTAAATTTTTGAGAAGCTGTAATTTGACTAATGTTAGTTAATCATTCAGTCTTTGGAATGAGGCACTGTTATACTAAATTATATTCTGTGAATAACAATTTTGGGTTATTCACATTTTTGTGGTTATTCAAATTGGGCAAAAATTCTCCATTGTCATGAGCAATAGAACTAAATATAACAACCTGGCATTTATCGCCTTCAGAATGTGAATTCCAGGTTGGAATTTTAAGAAACAGTTTTATGCAAGTGTCTATTAGCGTGTCTTAAATTCCTTTGCAAACTGTTCAGATTAATATGAACTGGAGCAGGGAAAGCTTCTGAACAGATAATTTTGGACTCCTTGATGTATTAATTTAGCACTCATTTTAGAATTTCAGTAATGTGGATGTTAACCTGCCTTTCTTTTCCTGTAAATGTACTCTTTGAATATTTTGAAATAGCTTTTGGCATAATACACAGCATGATTTCAGTATAAAACAAATGCTACCTTTCCATCAGTCATTTTATTCACATGTTAAATAAATGTAGATATCAAGGTAATATCTCATGTTAATATTTCTGTCTTTAAGTTTTGTAATACCACATTGAATTGTGTTTTGTATTTGTTAGCTTTTGTTAGTGACTGATTATTTATAAATATCAGAAAAAGATACTGTGGTACATATTGTCCTTCTGCAGTTAGATGCTTCCCTCCCAAAAATAATATATACTGATGGCTCTAGAAATATAACTCATAAAGAAAGCATAAGGTGCCTTAAAATGCTGGGCCCCAGTACTGTTTTAAATAACAGTGGGAAGGTAATTATGTTTGCAACACCTCAGTGCAAATCCACCTAATTCTGAAAGAGGAAATACAGAAGTAGGAAAGAAAATACTTTACATATCGAATGAATTGGTTCAGGATCCTATCTCTATTAACTTGTGGCATACTCCACTGAAGCTGATGTGGCTTTTTTTCTGAGCAGATACCAATAAATCCTAGTGATGACACGATGTGTAAAATTTTCACTTCATTCAGTAGTTTGGCTTTTCTTTCTCTTTTTCATTGGTTTTGAGGGATAAGAGAAAGCCTAAATTTTAGTTGGTTTAAAATATTTAAATTTAAATTTATTGAAATTTAAATATTTAAATTTAATATTTAAAATAAAATATTTTGTTGGCTTACATTTTTGTTTTAGATTTTATTTGATTGGTACTAGAGGTAGTCCTTGACTTACGACCACAATTAAGCCCCAAATTTCTGTTGTTGGACTAGTCAGATGTTAAGTGAGTTTTTGCCCCATTTTACAATCGTTCTTGCAATGGTTGTTAAGTAAATCACTGCAGTTGTTAAATTAGTAGCACGGTTATTAAACAAATGTAGTTTTGCCATTGTCTTTTGCTTGTCAGAAGATGGCAAAATGTGATCTCATGACCCTGGGACACTGCATTCATCATAAATACAGGCCAGCTGCCAAGCATCTGAATCTTGATCATGTGACCATGGGATTGTTTGAAGGGTCGTAAGTGTGAAAACTGGTCATGCCACTTCTTTTCAGTGCCGTTGTAATTTTGAATGGTCATTAAACGAATGGTTGTAAGTCAAGGACTACCTGTACTTGTTTCCCCCTTCCCTCATTTTTACATTTATTTTTGCAGCTTAGAAGAAAAAAACACAAATGTGGCCTATTCCTCTACTTGGCTTGATGACGTTCAGGGCTTGACAACAGAAGGCTTCAGAACAGATAAGAAGCCAGACCCTGCAAATTGGCAATATAAGTCATTATATCGAGGCAACATTGCAAGGTAACCTGGTAGCAGTAACAGTTGAGATAATATTGTTGAGAGTAAAATATAACTTAAGAATACTAATCCTCTCTGGTTGTTCAGGAAGAACTCGGGGCATCTTCAATTTGTAGAAGGCTGAGCGATATTCTCTTCCTTTAGTCCCTCCCTCCTTTATTTTGGCTAGATGTGAGAATAAACAGCCCGTGGCCCTGCTCAATTTTGTGAAGCAAAGCAGCTCCATGATCTGGAAGTGAGAGGGGAAGTTAGGACTTGGGAATTTGCTGCGTAGTCACAATTGGGTACTTGACTGTAATACCTTTAGGTGCATTGTCCTGGTTGGTATTGATATTTAACTGACTGCAGAATTAAAAACCAAAGCTAAGCTGCTGAGCATGTGGATGTTTTAAAAAGGATTGTCCTTTATAAAAAAAAAAGTACATCTTTTAATAGGCAACTCGTCTTGCACATAACAGAATCCCCTGAGAATCTTTCCAGTTTCATAATATGTCCTAAAAAAATGTTTTGAAGCCTGCTGTCACAGGAAGAGACATTTGCTCTCTAGTGCCGTAATTCCGCCCAGTGAGTTTGTTTACTAATGACCACCTGAGTCCTGTTTTAATTCTAATTTAGTAAGTGCTGACTCTGCGGAGCCAACAGTCGAATGGTCTTGCACCCGGCAATTCTTGCAACACAGTTGACTTGCCTAAGGCTAAATAATGACACACTTTATTACAGTCAGAGACCAGCAATAATTGCCTAAGTCTCACATCGGAGGGAGTCAGTTTTGCATCCTCTGTTGTTGATTGTTCAGCAGCATTTCCTTCTGCAACTTTCTAGCCTGGCCTAGTCCTTTTCTCCCTCCCCTTCCTAATGTGCAGCAGAATAGGATTCCTGCTTTTTAATAGTGAGGAGATGCATAGTGGACAAGAAAATTGCCCTGAACAGTTTGGTCATTAGACTTCCAGTTTGTGACCAGGCAATAAACCTGGCAATGTGCTGGAATGTGCATTTGTACAAGCAGTGGGGGAGAGTTGGCAACACAGAGTCCCCCCCCCCCCCCCCCCCCCCCAAAAAAAAAAGAAGAAGCTTGAATTAAGAGACTCTGCAGTCCTGACTAGGAGGGATAAGAGGTTCAGAATAGTCATCCCCTAGAATCTCTCAGATGTATCCTCATTGTTCAGTAGATTAAAAAGTTTTAACATAAATTTGGCAAAATTCTGACCATTATATATAAGCAAATATAGGATTGAGCTCATTTAAATCTCAGTGTCTTGTCTTGCACCTGACAAGAGATTGTTTAGTTTATAGATATAATATCCATTTGTAATATTTTAAAAATAATGTTGGAGTTTGAAAATAATGCTGCTATTCTGCACTACGTTAAAGAGAGCCCATATACATTGCCTTGCTTCTTGTACTTTTGGTACTTTCCGTACATAACGAACTTACTTTTTTAAAGGTAAAAATAAGTGAGATGTCCTGCTTCTAAGTAGAAAAGGCAAGGCATAATTGAAATAATTGATAAATTCATTTTAATAAGGGATCCAAGATAATTGAAAAAATTAAGGAGCTGATTAAATTTTGCTTTCTGAGGTGGCAGTCCTGCTGATGTTTGCCATTTGAGGAGCCATGCAGAATTTGTAGGAGTTGCTTTCCCACTTCATAGTTTGGTTATGGTGAATGTCTAATGTCTTACAGGTCAGTAGTCTCTGAGGGAGACTCAAAGATTTTGGGAGAGGGGGGGGAAATTCAAGAATAAAACGTTAAAACTACAACAATCAGGGTCTGAGAAAGTTTTCTCTCTCTCCATGATCTTAGGAATAGTCAGTTTTATTTATTACTTTTAAAGGTATAAGAGACGAAGCAACTTCTGCCTTGGCCTTCAACCGAAGGGGCAACATATTATTTGGGAGAGCTCAACAGCAGAAAAAACATCTTCCTATAAGCGACCAGAACGCTACTTCACAAAAGGTGGTCGGAAACTCCTGAATGAAGAAGGCATTCATGTCAGTGGTAAAAATCAGGATTCCTCGTCTGGCTCAGCCTCCTGGATACCAATTTTGCAACTAGATCCAGCAGAGTCTCCTTCTACCAGCTGGGTAAACCCTCTTGGGGTTTATGATCTGCAGACCACGCTGTGGCTACAAGGAAAAGGGCCTTCTGCTGAACACAGCTTACCAAATAAGCAAGACCCTCAAGAGAACCACCAGAATGTAGACTCCCCCTTAATGGCAAAGGTGGAAGAATATAACTGCAAAGTCAGAGAGAATCCCAGGGATGTCAAAGCATGGATGGATTTGGTTTCTTTTCAGGTAGGCATGCATGTATTAACGTATAAGGATGCAATGTAAAGTTATGTCCAAAGGTGATTGTTTTAAAGGAGCAGATTGGATTTTGGAATATTCTCTGCATACTTGAATGAAATGGCCCTTTCCCCGTAATTCTGCAGATTTGCACTCTATTCAGGTCTCAGAAATTGACAGATGCTTAGTACGTTGTCAGTGCAATTTCCTACCGATTCCTGCACTGGTTTGCCACACTATATTTTGTGGAAAGAAGAGGATACAAGTAGTCCCAAAGGTGCTTTTTCAAGAGGCAACTGGACTTTCTGGTTTTCCTTTGAAGACGTTTCGCTTCTCATCCAAGAAGCTTCTTCAGCTCTGACTGGATGGTGGGGAATTGAAGGATTGGAAGTAGAGAATCCAGTCCATTCAGTCAGAGCTGAAAGAAGCTTCTTGGATGAGAAGCGAAATGTCTTCAAAGAAAAAGTCCAGTTGCCTCTTGAAAAAGCACCTTTGGAACAACCATGACCTGGATGACTTGAGAATCTCCCTAGAATCTAGGTAGAAGTAGTCATCGCTTCAGTAACTGTTCAAAGTTGTGATGGTGCTGAACCAGTGGTATTCAAAGTTTCTCACCCATCACTGCATCTCCATAGTCACATGACTGTGATTTAGATACTTGGCAACCAGCTTGCATTTATGAGAGTTGCAATGTCCCACAGTCACATGATTGCCATTTGCGACCTTCCCTGCCAGGTTTCCACAAACAAAGTCAATGGAGAGGAGGCAGAGAAGGTTGCAAGTCATTCTGGTAAGAGCTCCCAGCCATCGTGCACTCACCGTTTCTGTACTGTCCATCGTCAGCCTTCCTATACTCACATTACCACAGCCCAGGCTAACTCTTCCCTGCCTTTCCTGCGCTCACTCCTGCAATGGGCCCCTCCCACTCCCCTGAAATACTCTGCAACACCCCTGTGCTCCTTTCCCGAGACTCCCACCACTTCCTGCTTAACAACCCACTTGTCTTGGGTTTATGATAGCAACTCAGATTGCCAGGATTGTTGTTGCTAAGTGATGCATGACATGACACGACATGTTTAAGAACCGCATCGCTCAGCGACAGTAATTCCACACCCAATTGTCATTGTAACCCAAGAACTTCCTGTATGAAGAAACCTTAATGTAAAATTAATAAACTTCATATATTTTTCTTTAAAAGTCAAATGGCCTTTTGGAATGTAAGTAAGGGAACCAGATAGGATTGGCTTGCACAGTTTGGAAGGAGGGGATTAAACAGGACTGTGCATGTGCCTTGGCTGTTGATTTCACTTTCTCCAGTACCCAGTTCAAAACCAGCAGTTGGATTGGCTGTGGGTTTTTCCAAAGGGCATTCAATTCCATTTCAATTTTACTTAAAATGTCTTAGATTCTTTTTTTTTTTTTGTTCCTTTTATTTTTAAGGATGAGCTCATGAGACACCCTAGCTGTTATGCCATCAGTGAGGGAGAACGGGAAACGAGAAAGAAATCATCGAAGCTAATACTAGAGAAGAAGCTGGCTATTTTGGAAAGAGCAATAGAAAACAACCCAAATGAAGTGGACCTGAAACTAGCACGGCTAAAACTTTGCATAGAGTTTTGGGAGCCATCTGCTGTGGTGAAGGAATGGCAAAAGTTGATTTTTTTGCATCCAAACAACCCAGCCCTGTGGCAGAAATATCTCTTATTCTGCCAAAGTCAGTTCAGCACCTTCACTGTCTCCAAAACACACGGCTGTTACGGAAAATGCCTGAGCACGTTATCAGCTGTGTATGATGGCAGTATGGTATCCCATCCTGCAGTACCAGGCACAGAGGAAGCCATGCTAGGTAAGAGGGTATCTGAGCTTCTTTGGCCTTTTAAAAGACCAATCCCCTCTTCTGTCATGACATGTTTGGGTCTTTGGGTTTGCTTATGTTTGCTTGTGTTTGCTTATGGGGCATGATGATGATGATGATGATGAACAGATCTCATCTCAGTTTTTGGTTTGCATAGATCATGGTTGGTTCTCGTTGGCTGTTTTGGGAGCCCAATTTCCCCCTTTTCTTTTTTTCTTGATTTGTGACCCTTTTATAAATCAAAGTGTTTTTGTAGACAATGCTACAGCTGACAGAAACTTATGAAATTCAATCAAAAACGTATGTTTTAATATGAGGGGTGGTGGGAGAAAATGTGAAAAAAAAACAAAAAAAAACCATGTTTTGAATCATAGCCAAATGGTCCTTTCTATCTAAAAGTCCCCTGCGGTTGCTTTTTCCACACAGATCTAAAGTAATTTCTTTAGAGAGATTTTAATTTATGGCATCCTCTGCTGTATTATGGGATCATTAATAATGATCCTGCCTGCCTGTTCAGCCGAAATAAGCCTGCCTGTTCAGCCGAAAGGGTTGTCCCCCTGAATCCTGTTCTAGTCTTCCAGTTTGGCATTTGGGCTGTAAGACTCATAATTCTTCACAGCATCGCTATTTGCCAAGCTGGTTAGTAGTTGTGAGAATTCGTTCTTTGTATATGTTGGGGAAGATTATGCTTATATATTTAAAACAAAAAACTACTAGAAGCCAGGGGCCCCTTTGTTGGAGTTTGTTGACCTTGGACTAGAGTGTTGGACTACAGTTCCAATCACCCTCAATATTCCTGGTGCGGTACTAGCTGGCTGGGGTTTACAAGAGTTATGGTGTAATAGTTCCTGGAGGCCTCAGATCAGGGAAGCTGGGCTGGCTATTTTTGATATCAGTGAACATAGTTGAAAGACGAGCTTGTTGTTAGGTTAGCCACAGTATTTAAAAATACTTCCAGGTACCTAACGGAATCCTTTCTTCTATGAATTTTATTTCTTTTTGAGAACTACATTGGGCTCAATCTCAGCAGTATTTGCCAGGACTGGAGTATTAAAGTTGGTAGACATTCCCAGATGGGAAAGTGTTAGAAAAAACGCTATTTGGCGTCAGAATTAATGAGGGCTCCTTTTTAAATTGTGCCTCTAATGAGTAGATCTTGCCTGACAGTCTCATTTGTTGATTAAGAATATTGAGCAGTTGTCAATCATTTATACAGGTTTTTTAAAAAATCTTGTTGAGATACATCAGACTTTAAATGAGAGTCTTTGAACAGGGAATGATGAAGAAAGGTACACTGAAGGCTTCTGCCACTTAGTGGTTATTTCTTTTATTGCCTGTCATAGTGACAACCTGTCGGAAAGGAACACAGTGGAGTTTGGATGCTTTAAGAAGTGGTTTAGATGGGGGTCACTCTGAGTTGATCCAAATGCGTCTACTTGGCTTTATTGTCAGAAGACAAGACGCACTGTCTCAATAACTCCGTGACTTGACAATTGCCTTGTATGCACATGACCATGAGTGCAATCCCACTCGTTGTGTCATCTGACTGAAACAACATTTATCTTTGGGACCTATGATGAGCTGCTACAACTTTGAATGAGTGACAAAAATCACCTGATATGGAAGGAGGTGGCTTCTTCTGTCCCTAAGTTTAATTCAGCCATTTTTTTCTCCATTTCTAACATATCAGATAAAAGTTTTTTATGTTTTCAAGTAAGTGACAAGATTTAAAAAAAATTGAAATAGAAAATATGCATAATGTGCAATTGGCTATACACCTACTGATATTCCTGGTTGCATTCATTAATTTGACTTCTGCTCTCAAAAAAGTTACTTCTGTTTGTAGTTTTGTAAAATCTTGGAGTATTTAAGTTCGACTGAACTGAAAGAAAATGATTAATCTTGGTTGACAATCTTGATTTCTTTAAAAAAAAACATTACACAAAGTGGTTATATGTCTACATTTTTAAAATAAGGTTGTTGTAATTCAAACTCTGGGACTTGCTAATAGAGATGCAGTCATAAATAACAAAAAGGGAAATTGCCATCTGTATTTGAACAGCTGTTACATGAAATGTTGTTTCTTTTTCTCCCAAGACATTTTTCTTCAGCAGTGCCATTTCCTTAGGCAGGCTGGCCATTCAGAAAAGGCTGTGTCCCTGTTCCAAGCCCTGCTTGATTTTACTTTTTTTAAACCAGATAATGTCAAGGACCTGCCAACAAGAGGACAGGTAAAAACCAGCCTCTCTCATTCCTTCCGATTTCTCTTTTCTAACTAACATATTTAAAACAAGCTAATAACCTGACAAATATATGAACACAGCTGATGATTTCTAATACCCAGAGGTCATGCTATTGCTTTTTGTTCCACAAATATATATATAGGAATGCATGCTTTGTGTAATAAACTAATGATCTTGCTGGATGTCCTTGAGGGATATATTAACTCTGATTTGCTTCTTGAACTAGAAAACATGTTAACGTTGAAAATACTTTAGACTGTATGCCCCAAACTGTATGATCATGAATAGCTCAGTAAGTATTTCTGCAACTTGACAAGCCTAGACCAAATGGACTTGCACCTTGCAAATGGGTTGTGCCCTACAGCTCATGGATTTGGGATGTAATGAGAATCTGTGCCTCACCAGCTTGGAAGATGGAGGCTTTACTTAGCAATAAATAGTGTAATAAGTGAACACAGTTTTGCAATGATCTTTTATGCGTTTCAAGGTTGCTTTATAGTTGTTTATAGTTAAAATGCCCACAAGGCTGAGTTTCAAATATATTAATGGTTGGGTTTTGTGTTGTCATCACCAACGTAGAACAATGAAATAAAGACCAAACAAAAAATGCCACAAGGATGCATTACTAACTGTATTAATCCTTTGGTTTCTTTATTGGTTTTTATTGCTTGAGGTAAGGGAGGTGATTACAGTGCTTTATTGTCACGATAACTCCAAAACTGGAAAGATTGAAAGATTATATAAGCTAAGCAATTCTAAAATCATTTTTCAATCAGGAATGGATTCAAACCTTAAAGTGGCTTCTAACCAGAATACCAATGTAGATAACACAGTTAATACAAATTTCTCTTTATGTCTTGGAACTGTTTCTTTTATATGAAGAGCATAAGTAGTAATGATGAGCTGAGATGTCCCAAGTCTATATCTTGTCTTAACCATAAACTCATTAACTTGGTTTGTTGAACAACTAAGCAGTTGTTTACTATTATATGACAAGGCTTGGGCTTGCCATCCACAGAGGATAAGAGATGGAATTGGAAACATCTGGTGGGTTGGTTTTTTTGGGGGGCCACCCCATGATTTATCTTTACATCCAGAAATGGCAAGCTATTTGTTTATTAAAACATTCCAGGATCAGTGGTTGGTTTAATCCTATAAATCTGTTGGATAAATTTATCAGGAATCTCAGTGCAGACATAAAAGGCATATTTGATCACTTTAATTCAGAATGTGAGTGCTTCCAAATTCTGGTTCCTTTCTCAGGACTGCATTGTGGATGAAAAAAGCAGGAGTAATTTTGGAATACTTGGCCCATTGTTCTAGTTATATATCACTTTTTATGGTTTAATTGAGTATACTGGATGACTATAAGCAGCCTGACAACTAGAATTTTCATTTTCATTTTAAAATTGATATTTGAACCATCTTAAAAATCTTTTCTTGTTAAGCGTTGTCCTTTTCTACCATTACCCCTCTCTTTTGGTTTACTCAGCTCTGGTTAAAAACAGCTTTGTGTCAAAAATTGAATTGGCCAGTATTTCACTTCCTTCAAAACAAAGAGCCTTCATTTTGCCAACAACTGAGATGAAATGCATGCTGGCTGGGGAATTCTGTATGTTCAAGTCCCAAATCTAGAGGGCACCTAAATTGGATAAGACTGATAGAGAAGCTATCAGTCTTTAAAATACCCTGTCTTAGGCCATCAAATTCTTTAAAGAATGATGCTATACTGTCATTCTCCCTTTCTATTACCCCAACCTTGGCCAAACTAACTAATAATTCTGACTCTAGGATAAATAGTGATCCTTAAGTTAGAGAAGGTATTTATTTATATATTTATATTTATATTATATATATATATATTATGTTTATTTCCCACTTTTATTCTACTTTTATTCTATTTATTCTTGTTTGTGTGACCTATCCTTTTATTTATATTTAAGTTATTATAAATAGTTGAGAACCTATATGGTTCAGTGGTTAAGGTACTGGACTAGAAAGCAGGAGATTGTGAGTTCTAGTCCCACTTTAGGCATGATAACGAGTTTGAATGACTTTGGACAAGCTAGGCTTTGGTAACAAAAAAAAGCTGGCTGCATTTATGGCGAAAGAAAAAAAATATGTGCAGATATTAATCAATTAAATATTACTTTAGCCACTCATTCAATTTTTATGCAATTTGTCAATTGTTTAAGACTATATAGTATGTATATGACTTGGACAATTTTGAAGAAGAAAAGTTTTTTTTTTAAAAAAAAAGTAATAGGAACTTGTGTGGCAGCATTAATAATTGTTGGAAGATATTTTTCCTAACTTTTTAAATAACTTGCTCTAAAAATTTATATTAAAAAATCCCAGCCATTGAATGGAATATTTAATGGGAGATATTATAAAAACATTTTGAAGCAATTAGTGAATTTTGGAGTCTTCTTTAAAGTATTGCAATTGTAATTTCATGTATTCATTTTCCACCCCCAACTCCAGAGGGAATTCTTTGAGCCCTTTTGGGACAGCGGAGAGCCTCGAGTTGGAGAAAAAGGAGCTAAAGGTTGGAAGGCCTGGATGCATCAACAAGAGAAGGGGGGCTGGGTGCTCATCAACCCACCTGGTAAATACCTTAAGGACATTTCAGATCTGAGAGGAGCTATAGGGCACGTGATAAAGTCACACTCTCCTATTGGTTCTGGTTTCCCCAAAAGAAATAGATAATTTATGAAATGTCTGCACTGCTTCAATCACACTGATATGATTTATTATGTCCACAAGTTAGAACAGTGTTCTCCAGTTCTTTTCTTTCTGGATTTATGGAATTATAAATGCCATTTTACATCAGCCAGTATAGACAGTGTCTGGCTAACTGCAGAAAAATGAGAATTATATGTCAATATTTTTGAAGGCACTAATTAAGTTAGGCTAAGCTGGAAAATAGGCATCTGCAATCATATTGTGGAGCCTAAGGGGAAAAAAATGTTTTCAGTCCCAAAGGATGGTTTGAAGAACTGAAGAGTTGCCCACATTTCTTTGTTGTTTGGTATACTTCTGATTTTGGTGACGATTCAGTTATGTAAATTGCTTCGGATAGGCAGAAGCCCTTAGATCAGGGGTCCCCAACCACTGGGCCCCGGACCAGTACCGGTCCGTGGAACATTTTCTACCGGGCCGCCGGTTTGCTGGGCGCCGCCATCTTGTTTTGATGAGAAAGTGCTTCCGGTGAGCTTTTCCAGTTGGAAAGCGGCGTTTGGGTCCTGAAGGAATCCTCGCGCCTTAGTTTCATCGAGGGGGCAGGGGGCGGCTTCGAACAAAACTAAGGCGCGAGGATTCTTTCAGCACCCAAGGCAAGGCGAGCCGAGCGACCGTCCCAAAGCCGTCCTGAAGCCCACCGACAAAGGTACAAAGGAGGAGTTGAAGGTGGCGGGGAGAAGTGGGGGGTGGCTGGCTGGCTGGTCGCTCAGCTCGCCTTGCCATGTGTGCTGATGCCGGTACCGGGCCGCGGATCAGTTTGTGATGCCGGTACCGGGCCGTGGCACAAAAAAGGTTGGGGGCCACTGCCTTAGATGATTAAAGTCAACATAAAGGTTCTGGCACAATTAAACCCTTTTAGCAGTAACATTTATTCAGCCTGTGAATGACGGGTATATGAACATGTAGTGAGTTGGAGGACTAAGTTTCTTTGCTTTTTGTCATTGATTTGGTGAAGGACAAGGTACTCACTAATTATGAACATTGATCATTTGTTTTACTGTGATCTTGATTTTTTTTTTATTTTTTTTTTGTTCCTTCAAGTCAGTGTTGACTCCTGGCAACTGCCTGGACAAATTACTGCAATTTTCTTGGCAAGATTTCAGAAGAGGTTTGCTATTTCCTGCTTCCTAGGGCCAAGAGAGAGGACTGGTTTTGTGTCTCAGGCAAGACTAGAACTCACAGCCTCCTGGTTTCTAACCTGGTGCCTTAACCACTAGAGAAACCTGGCTTCTTTTTAAAATCCTGAATTACTTCCCATTGTTTAAAAATTACTGTAGAAATACAGTATTTTTGCTTTTTCTTGCCTTTCTTGTGAAATAATATAAAACATATTCTTCTTCTCTAAGAATACTCTTCTTATTTAGGTAAACTTGTTTGCCCTGGCCTGATCTTATCATTCTCATTGTCCCTTTGGCATCCTGTCTTTAAAAGGTGGTCATTCTATGGATAAATTCAAGGACAGGGATGTTGAAGATTGAATTTGTATGCACCCACATCCTTCTCAGTCTTAGTTATTATGAGCAGGCGTGGCCATCTTAACGAGTGTTTTTTAATTTGAAATAAACTTTTTGGAACTTACATATCCAGCTGCAATTTTGAAAAATTCATAAATATGATTTTTAAATAGATGAAGATGAAGAAGATGCAGAGGATGAAGAAGAAATAAAGGATAGATCTCTACCAAAGTGGCAAAACTGGCTTCATATGGAACGTTCCCGGGAAGCAAGGCACTGGTTACCCTGGCGTCCAGAAAAAAACAAGAAACCATCATTAGAAGATTGTGAAGATCCAGAGAGGCAGGTTGGTACGATGCAATATGACCCATGTTTATTTTAAGAGAAGCTTTTTTTTATGACGCTGGTAGACACACTTGAGTCAAAGATTTATTTTATTTATTTATTTTATTTATTTATTTGATTTGCCAATTGTTTACAAGATAATAAGTATAAGTGTATACATAGTTGTGAATACATGAAATGGGTACATATAAGAAAAATAAAAGAAGAATAAGAGAAACAATAGGACAGGGACGGTAGGCACGTTGGTGCGCTTATGCACGCCCCCTACAGACCTCTTAGGAAAGGGGTGAGGTCAATAGTAGACAGTCTAAGGTTAAAGTTTTGGGGGTTTGGGGAAGAAACTACAGAGTCGGGTAAAGTATTCCAGACATTGACCACTCTATTGCTGAAGTCGTATTTCCTGCAATCAAGTTTGGTGCGGTTAACATTGAGTTTGTATCTATTGTGTGCTCTTGTGTTGTTATGGTTGAAGCTGAAGTATTCATTGACAGGTAGGACATTGCAATGTATGATTTTATATACCATGCTTAAATCAGACCGAAGACGGCGTAATTCAAGCTTTTCTAGTTCTAGAATTTCAAGTCTGGTGGCATAAGGTATTCTACAACGAGTAGAGGAGTGGAGAACTCTTCTTGTGAAATATTTCTGGACTTTCTCAATTGTGCTAATATCAGATATGTAATGTGAGTTCCAGACTGATGAACTGTATTCGAGTATTGGTCTAGCAAATGTTTTGTATGCTCTGGTTAGTAGTGTGATATTACCAGAGAAAAAAGGAAGCTGATATTGAATGACTACTTACATCTGCTTCTAGGAAGATGTGGGCTGGGCAAATCTTCAAAAACACATGCCTTTCATGGAAAATGTGGCGGTATCAGCCCCTGTATTTCAAAGTAAAAAATACAATGTATCTGCTCCATTCTTTCTATAACACCTCACTCGTGTGTTTTTGGCTGATCAGCATACATCCAGATTTTGGAAGGATTGTGTATCTAGTGATGATTTTGCTAGGTTTTTTGTTTAAAATTCATTCCTTACAATAACGGCCCTTTTATATATTTCATAGGTCTTATTTGATGACCTTGGACCATCATTGATAAGACTTTCCAGCCCTGAACTTCAGTTTCAACTACTGTCCTCATTTTTGCAATTCTTAGGAGTTCCATGCGCCTGTAGACTTTTGCCTTCTTCTTTCTATATAGCGATGGATGAAAATAACTCAGTTGACAATGAGTATAACAACCAAGGAATTCTGACTTCTTTGGATATGCCTCTTTTTGGAGTCAGTAATATTGGTCATATGGACTCAATGGTCCAAGGAGAGAAGCATGTGACTCACACTAAGGAAGAAGAGCAATTTATTCAGAATCTCTTTCATATGATGCTGCCCTTATTTTCAGGCAAAGATAGATCTAACCTATGCATTTTTTGGCTCCAGTATGAAATCACTAAGGTAATGTTCTTTCTCTTGTCTTATACAGATAGTAGATCAGATGTATACATTGGTATTCAGCTTTGTTCGGGTATTTTCCCACATCATTATAGTTGTGCTTTTAAAGTTGTAGCGACATTTTGGAAGAATCTCATCTGCCATCATCAGGCTTGTGTATTGTGTTCGTCTGTGATTCAGGCTTTCACAGCCGTTTTTGTTTTAAATTTGGTGCTAGCCTACTGCTGTGTTAGAATGTTTTTTTCTTCATCCTGATTGTTTGGGAGTCTTGGTCTGTGTTTATTGGTCTTGGAGTTTGCTGTGTTCTGCTTGATTGGTGTTTCTAATATCTTCTGTCTGTTTTGTAGCTTTTTATTGTCTTGATTGGCTGGCAACATTGTTTTAAGACAAAAAAACTTAAGAAAACAAATGTATACATTATATCTACAGATCTGTTTCTAAAGTTGACAGTTCTGGATAGAAAAAGAATGTCCAATATAACTTAATATTCAACATCTCAGCCTGTGGCATAGCATATGCTATGGTGGGTGTGAATGGGATGTTCTGGATGTGGGTTTAGAGTAGTGAGGAATGCAGAGGTTATGTAGAACAGTGGTCCCCAATCTTTGTGGATTGGCGGCCTGGCTGGAGGGAGAGGAGGAGAACCGAGCCACATGAGTGGCCAGCTGGTGTGTTTGCACAGCTCTACTCACGCAGGAAAGAAGAGAAGCCTTCGAGGCCCGGTCTCGGCTTGTCACACCAAAACCTTTTGCAAAGGCAGGGAAGGCCTGAAGCAGCACAAAATTGCTCCCCCAAAGCCTATTGTCCATTTGCAAAAGCTTTTGGCATGGAGAAGAGAAGCCTTTAGGGGCACAGCCTTGTGCTCCTTCAAACTCACTAAGGCTGCCCGCCGCTCCAAAAGCAGATGGGGTGTCCAGTATAGGCAGCCTTGGTGAGTCAGCGAAGCTGAGCAGGTTACGCTCAACCCATTCAGCCTCTGCTCTCATTGCTCTGGTTTTAGAGCTTTGGGAGCAGGTGTCTTGATGGCCCATCTGAGAGGGGGAGAGGGGAACTGGGCCAGGCGAGCAGAGGGCCGGTGCACATGCACAGCTCAACTCATGCAAGAGAGAAGCCTTTGGGGCGTTGCTCGGGCGAGCGGGGCTGTGAGCACTGGTGCTCGTGTGAGTGGGGCTGTACTCATGCATGCCGGCCCATCACTCACATGGCTCAGCTGCGAATAGTACACCACCCGGGAGTGGGCCATAGCCCATAGGTTGGGGAACCCTGGTGTAAAACATTTGTAAACACGCACACACACATATATATAAATATAAATATAAAAGATATATGGCTGTTGATTGGTGGACTTAGCTAGAATGCATAAAAATAAATAAGATGGTTGTATTGTATACAAGTACATTACATTTTTAAATTGTTTCTTCATTTGATTGTGTTTATTTTGTAGGTCACTCAGTATTTGAAAATGGGAAAGAAAAAAAAACTAAAATTGCAAGGCAAAAAAGGCAAAAAATTAGCTAAAAATCTTCTTAAGGCACCTGACAACAGAAACAATGTTTCGCTTTGGCAACTATATGCTTTCCTGGAGTGGCTACTTGGCAATATAGAAGATGCTAGAAAAGTTTTTGATACATCTTTGGGGATGGCTGGAATCAGTGGAATCCAAAACCCTCAATTCTGTCATCTTAGCCTTCTTTATGCTAAATTGGAAGCAGAATTGCTAATAAATCTAGAAGGAGCTGTAGAATCACGTGCAACATACATATTGACCAAACTGGCTGAAAGGGGACATTATGTTCCTTATCATGGACAGGTATCATCAGTGAATGTTTTGAAAGCTCGGAAAACATATGAGCATCTAGTTCAAGATTGTTTAACTGAAAACCTCACTTCTAATCAAGAACATGCTAGTGGTTCCAGCCATCTGATTGGTTTGGTTGGTTGTTACACTCTTTTCCAATATTTAACTCTTGGGATTGACTCTGCAATGTCAGTATACTGTCAGGTTGCTCAAAAGCTGAAAGACAAGGATCCTGGAGAAAGGCTTAGTGGTCAACATTTCACTACACCTCTTGAAGCCCTCTCTCTCATGCATGTCAGCTTGCTCAGGTTCCACATGAAAATCAGTGTGTATCCTTTGACTCCTCTTCGTGAAGTACTGTTGGAGGTTTTGAAGAGATACCCCAGCAACCAGTCTTTTTGGAGATCATACGTCCAGATCCATAGCAAGTCTCACAATGCTAGCAAAGCCCGGCGTTTTTTTGACGCTATAACAAGAACTACACAATCGCTGGAGCCTTGGCTGTTTGCAGTCCAACTGGAGCAAATGAGGAAAAAACTGATTGAAAGGGTCCAGAGGTAATGTCATCTATATAACAATGGTCAGGCGAGCTGGAGAAAAGCTATGCATGAAATAGAAAAGGTGTTTTGTTTTGAACCTGAAACAACCGCATTCTGTCAATTCCAGATAGGATGACTGAATTTAAGCAACCATAGCATTTTGCTTGCTCTCAGTTTCTGCCAAGACAAATTCTGGAAAAAAATTTTTACCGGTGAAAAGAGTTGTGCTGTTGAGCCTACTCTCTGCCTTTCTGCTTTGCCACCACTGCCATCCTTGAATTCAAGTAGAACCTATCCATTCACCTAGCCTTGTGATGGTCAGTCGTGTTGGATATCCCCCACTTGAATCCAATGCAGTGGCACCTAAGGGAGATGAGCAATGTATGGGCAAGCACAGGAGAGGATGGCATATATTGACTCTAGCACCGTGAACCTATGCCCTCCATGCCAGAAGTGGCACGCAGAGCCATCTCTCAGGGCATTCTAGCTGTCACCCATTGCTCTTCCAGGTTCGCACCGGCCAGTTGGTCTTTGCATGCATGGGAGCAGCAGAAGCCAGAAGAGCAGTTCCCCGCCATGCATGCGTGCGCAGGCCAGCTGGCCTTTGTGCATGCATGCATGTTAGAAACCAGAAGATCAGGCGGCTGGCACGCATGCACGCGCCAGGAAGCTAAGCTTCCAGTTTCCAGCACTCAGTGCTGAAAAGGTTACCCACCGCTGTTTTAGCATATCCAATTGGCACGGTTTATCTAACTCAGGGGTCCCCAACCACCGGTCCACGGACCGGTACCGGTCCGTGAAACAAGTCCTACCGGGCCGCTGGCTTGCTGGGCGCCGCCATCTTTTTTTTATTAAAAAGTGCTTCCGGTGAGCTTTTCCGGGTAGAAAGCTCACCGGAAGCACTTTTTCATCAAAAAAAGATGGCGGCGCCCAGCTAATGCCGGTACCGGGCCGCGCCATAAAAAAGGTTGGGGATACTGGGCCGCGGCGTAAAAAAGGTTGGGGATCACTGATCTAACTGATCCAGCCAGAAGTTCTGTTCTTAACCTTTGTTGTTTAGTTGTCTTTCTTCCCCTTATCAGCTTTCCCTACTGCAGACATTGCCAAAAAAAAAGTTATTATAAATACAAAATGAAAGTATGAACATGAAATTCATATTCATATGAAAAAAAATGTTAAAATAAAGTGAGATATCTTATGCAGTTTATCTTGGAGCCCTCAGGAGTAACCTTAGTCACATGCAATCATGCTGCCCAGTTTTTCCTGTCCGCTTATGAAGACTTTTCATTCTCCTGTGACCATTCCGTTTTTGCTTTTCTTCAGGGAGCCAACTGGAGATGTGTATGCAACCATTCCTGAAATTGGGTTAGCACATCGAATCAAAGCTTTATTTGAACATGCAATTCAGACTGAAAACGGTGCTCATTGTCCATTGCTCTGGAGGTTGTATATATGCTTCATGGTGAGTGCACCATCATTTGCCTTACGTTGTCTAATCCTGTAGGTAACCTCTAAATATTGTATATTATTGATTGAAAGCTTTTAGAACGGTACATTTTACAATTGGTTTTATGCCTATGAGGGTAGTAGAAGTATATGAATTGTAGAAAATTATGTATTAAATATATTTGCTTTGATATTTTGCCTTTTCTTTATTAAAATAAGGTAAGGGACACTAAGCTTGTCAGTTAGAAAGCTGACAGCCCAGGTTCGAGACCCAAGCGCCCCGGGATCGAGTGAGCTCCTGTCCTCCTCCCAGCTTCTGCCAACTCAGCAGTTTGAAAGCATGCAAATGCGAGTAGATAAATAGGTACCACTTGGTGGGAAGGTTACAGCATTCTGTGTACCTTGGCCTATAGTCATGCTGCCTACATGACCATGGAAAATGTCTTTGGATATTGCTAGTTCCTTCAGCTAAGAAACAGATGAGCACCGCCCCCTTAAAGTCAGAAATGACTGTAATTTTCCATTAACTTCCCATATTGTTCCTAGATCTAGGAGCAGATTGTCAAGAGGAAGCAGTTAATTGTAAAAGAAAAAAAAAAGCTTCCTCATCTGTGAAAGCAAATATTGGACTGTCATTTTATTTATGTACTTATATAGTAGTGAGATTTGTTCATTCTTCCATCACCAATTACAATTCCAGTAATTGATAGATCAGGGATGGGTAGCCTGTGGGCCATGTGCAGCCTTTCTCAGTAGCCCAAAATTGGGTTGCCCAAATCACAATTCCAGCTGTGCAGTATTTGGTTTCAATTTAAGTGTAGAAATGAGGATGTGGCCTTTTGCTCTCATTTTCTTTCTTTATATCCCCAAATGTACCTATTTTGTGGCCCAATTTCAGCCTTAAATTGTTTTAAGTTAGGGTAGGACAAACTATCCCAACCTCTTAGAACTTTCAGAGATTCTCAAAATTACAATTTAGTTCCAGTGGTGGATTCAACTTTAACAACCGGTTCTCCGCCCTAATGACTGGGTGGGCATGGCTGGTTAGTCATGTGACTGGGGTGGGTGTGTCCAACTCGATTGGTCTCACCCTTAGGAAATTTCTCTTTAGTCCAACTCACAATAAAATAGCACTGTTCCAATTTCAAGAATAGAATAGAATAGAATAACAGAGTTGGAAAGGACCTTGGAGGTCTTCTAGTCCAACCCCCTGCTTTGGCAGGAAAGCCTACACCACTTCAGACAAATGTCTATCCAATATTTTCTCTAAAACTTTCAGTGTTGGCGCATTCACAACTTCTGCAGGCAAGTTGTTCCACTGATTAATTGTTCTGTCAGGAAATTTGAGGGGCTCTTACAAAAATGAGGGAGTCAGGTGAACCAGTGAGAACCGGCTGAATCCCACCTGTCTTTAGTTCTGTCTTTTGAGGAGTGGGATTAGGGCAATTTTAAAGGTGGTTATGTGGATATTTTACTTTCTACCAGAGATTTCCTAATCCACACTTAAAATCCTGGGTGGGGGGACACCATAATAGTTCACTCTGGTTCCTGAACTGATGAAATTGTGGGATTATCTCCTGCTGCATCCATTTGGGAGGTGAGGAAGTTAAATTGCATCCTTTACCACAACTGCTATCAGGCCAGAGAAGGATGTTAAGTACAACTCATTACGATACGAATGAGCCTTAGCAAACTGTTTCCTTGCCCTTTTTCTGGACCAGCTGCACGGAAGCATTTTGAAAAGTTTCACTTCCCTTTTGTTGACCACAACGTTATGTTTATTCATTTCTTTTTTTTTAATGTCTAAATTAAAAAATAGATACTGTATTTTGTATCTTTTCTAAATGCTTGCCCTTTTAAAATGCAGCTTTTCTTTTCCCTTTGCAGGTTTCTTTGGGAGATAAAGCCAAAAGTAAAGGCATGTTTTACAGAGCGCTTCAAAACTGCCCCTGGGCAAAAGTAGGTTTCATTACTTTGTAATAATAATAAACACACACCTCCCCGGTCATTTTTATGTTTCATTGGTTTTAAGTTCTTAGTTGTGACAACCCAGAATTTTTGAGTCAGGGGAACATACAAGTTTGACAAATTATTGCTCTATATTTGTTCTTTTATTAAGTGAAAACCAGGTCTGATTTATCATAGCACTGTGGTGAATTGATAATTCTTTATTGACCTCTGTATTTATAGGTATTATATATGGATGCTATAGAATATTTTCCAGATGAGCTGCAAGAGATCCTCGATCTAATGGCTGAGAAAGAACTGCGAGTACGGGTACCAATAGAAGAATTGGAGCTGCTGCTTGAAGACTGAAGAAAGATACGAAGACAAATGATCAGCGTGTTGGTTTAATGAGCCTTCAATATAGCTAGGGAGAAAATGTTTGTGACTAATTTAGCATCTGTAAAAATGTACAGAATAAAAGTTTTTTTAAAAAAAATCCAAATGTGTTCTGTTAAGTGCAGATATGGGTAAGGCTTTTAAGTAATACTCGTTAACTGCCTCATTGCTAAAAATACTAGTCCAGATATATAAGCCAAATATATCTAGGATAAAGTACAGTTGAATGGGAAGTTGTTTGCTTCCAGTTGATTCCGATTTTAAGGTTGGCTGTTTATTTAAGATTGAAACACCTGGGTTGAGTTTAAACTTGTGGAAATATACAGCAATTTGAGAGTTTAGAAGAAATCTTTAATTAATGAAGGCACCTGTAACTGAATTTTTATCAGTTTATTGTGACCAAGGACAGGTGAAATGTAAATATCTTTGTAAACATAATTATATATAAAAGTTCTATTGGAATGTGGAATCTTCTAAAAATGTTTTGTGTTTTGATTTTTCCTTCATTACTGTATTGAACTGTATTGTTCATTGACTTGCAAGAAGAAAATATGGATTTTCCAATAATACTGTGTGGAAATGTTGCAATTAGCTTATATAGGCTGCTGCTGAAATAGGTAACAAAAATTAAAACAATGCATGCATATAGATTCTAAAATTTAAAGCTTTATTTTACCCTTTTAGAATTATATATCTGTCTTCTTTAGTTAATGTTTATAAGTTTTAAAAAACTAGAAATTTAGCAAAGCTAATCACAATGGGGGAAAACTCTAAAAGTTTGCAGGGTGGAATACTTGGAATATAGTCACTTAGTATTGCACTGATTAGGGCTTTCATTCAGTGTTTCTGTACACTGCTGATGTGAGTAGATCCTAGTTTATATTAAAACAATGTTTGGCTGTGGTGGTGTGGAGCTATGGTGGCACAGTGGTTAAAATGTACTATTGCATCTCAACATTGCCCACAGCCAAGAGTTTAATCCTGACAGATTCAAGATTGATTAATCCTTCTGAGGTCGGTAAAATGAGGACCCTGATTGTTGGGGGCAATAGGCTCACATTTGTAAACTGCTCAGTGAATGCTGTAAAGCACTATGGAGCGATATAAGTTTAAATGCTGTTTACTCACATCAGCAGTGGCTTTCAGTGGCTTGATCTAAAATGTACAAGGGCTTTTAGATTCAGCCTAGTCAGAGACCATTTTTAATTTAGAGCAGCATCCGATGTATTTAGAGATGGTAGGGCTGATAATCCATACTTGTTCTGATACAAATGCAGTGTGGATGTCTCATACAGATAGGCTTGAGGTTGAACAAAAAGTCACCATATTAGTTAGTGGATGGAGAGAAATCAAAAGGTTTTGCCATTGCCTCCTTCCTAGGGCTGAGTGATCGGCCCAAGGCTTAATTCCCAATGCGGGACCAGCACACACACACCTCCCTCCCTCTCGAAATTTAAAAGTCTTAAGTTTTCTAGAAAAAGGAAATATTTTTGAGCTACTATTTTCTTGTTTCCTGGTAGATGAGAGAAGCACCGTGTGTTCAATGCTAGGGAAATCCAAAAATAACAATTTGAAGTTAATCCTCCATTACAGCTTTCAGCTCAGAGAATAATTGAGGGCAGCTCCAGCCAGCCTATTTTACCACTGTACAGGTGGTTGTCCAATACATGAATGGTGAGTAATGCCAAGTCTTCCCTTATTTTGTACAGAGGCTCTGGCCCCTTCAGTAAGAAGCCTGTGAACTCTTCTTATTTTTTAAGTCATACCTCACTCAAGTGCAATGGTAAACGTTCACCTGCTATTGGAGTCACAGCAGTCATTTCATATACCAAGGCACTGAAACAACTCTGCTTTGAACCTGCTAAAACATCTGAGTATATTTTAGATTTATAACCATAATAAAATACAGTGATTGTTCACCATATTGAAAAGAGGAACAAACTAAATTTTTGGTTAATTATTCATTATCCTGAGAAACAATCTCTGCAAGGTACAATTAAAACTAATTTGCATGCTGTTGATAGTTGATCTGGTGAAAACATTCAGTCAGCCTATTATGAGATCTGGTCATAAAACCCTAACGGGGCCATAGAAAAGCCAAAATAGTCTTCCCAGAGTTCTTTTGTGTGAAAGGGAGTTTGCTTCACCCACTGTTTTTTTTAAAGACAGCTCTAGAAAGTACACTTGCTTATGAGCATTTTATCTGCTTGGAAAAATGCTTGCATGATATATTATCTGGGATTTTGACTTGTAAATAATTCATAAAACCAATCAAACACCTACATTCAAGTTAAACTCAAGTTCAGAAATGCATTTGGCACCTATAAATAATTTGGGCTACACTTAATAATGATATTGCCAAAGTTAAACAGTTCAATCTGTTCAGCTGTATTCACAGCCAAAGAAATTTGAGCACTGAAGAAATCTCTGGCATTTGACCCAGTTACGGCTGGTTTAAACTTGCAATGTGGAGATCAGCCTATGCATTTGCTACCAATATATGCAAACAAGATATTTTTAAATTATTTGCCATACTCCTACCCTGCAATTTTTTAGAAAGCAAATTTGAGATTGCTTCCATCATGACCCCAGACACAGTATCCCCAAGATGAAGGCTATTTTAAAATAAATCACAGGCCTACAATCATTTGCTGTCTTTATATCATGGTTATGGGACACCTAGATTTTCCTGGCAAAATAAGGCTAGGAGATGGAAATTTGTAGCAGGCTGGGTCTCCTTTTAGAAAAAATGGAGACTCTAAAGGTGGGTTGAGCAGAGATTCTAGGAATAGCCAAGTGGAGATCAGTGGGCACCATGCTTACCTACCTTTGTATTAGAAGAATGGACAAAAAAACCCCAAACTGGCCAGGAAGCCCACAATCATATTTTATCTGAAATCTACCAGTAATTGGCAAAGGGTTAAACTGGTTAAACTATTTATGACTCTACTGGCAACATTTATTTCTAGGTCCCATATTGACACAGGCTGCCTTGTTGAGCTTGACATAGTATGAAAGCAACATCGATCATACATCTCAGCCGTGAGAACTCCCCCTCAGGCTTACAACATTCTTCATTCAGAAACAGGGCATCTGTTATTTTTTATCTACTGTATGATAAGGGCAAGAATATAACCTCAATTGTTTTGAATACATACACACAAAACATTCGTGCACTGACCAGCCTGCTACACTTTCATTTTAGTTTCAGCTGCTTTTACATTTCCTAAGGGGGGGACTCTTTGTCAATGATATTAAACTATCTTATTTACCATCAGTAGCAGAGAATTAAACTACCAAAAATTTACTATTCATCTAAAGCAGAGTAACAGATAATAGATAACAGATAATCAGAGTTGGAAGGGACCTTGTAAGTCATCTAGTCCACACACCCCCACCCAAACAGGAGACCCTGCACCATTTCTGAAAAATGGCAGTCCAATCTCTTCTTGAAAGTCTCAAGTGATGGCACTCCCACAACTTCTGAGGGCAAGCTGTTCCATTGGTTGATTGGTCTCACTGTCAGAAAGTTTCTCGTTTCCAGGTTAAATCTCTCCTTGTTCAGTTTCCATCCATTATTCCTTGTCTGGCCTACAGGCGCTTTAGAAAATAGCTTGACCCCTTCCTCTCTGTGGCAGCCCCTCAAATATTGGAACATGTTATCATGTCTCCCTTGGTCCTTCTCTTCACTAGACTAGCTATGCCCAGTCCCTGTAACCGTTCTTCATATGTTTTAGTCTCCAAGCCCCTGATCATCCTGGTTGCTCTTCTCTGTACTTTAGAGTCTCAGCATCTTTTTTACAATGTGGTGAGCAAAACTGGATGCAGTACTCCAGGTGTGGTCTTACTAAGGCTTTACAGAGTGGTATTAATACCTCACTTGATCTTGATTGTATCCCTGTTAATACAATTTAGGATTGCATTAGCTTTTTGGGCTGCTGCTGCACACTGCTGGCTCATATTTAGCTGGTTGTCCACTAAGACTCCAAGATCCCTCTCACAACTACTGCTATTGAGCCTGGTTTCAACCAGTCTATGTGTACTTTTGGTTTTTCTTGCCAAAGTATAGGACTTTTCTCTACATTGAATTTCATTTTGTTAGATATGGCCCAATGTTCTAGTCTGTCAAGATCCATCTGGATCTTGAGCCTATCTTCTTGGGTGTTAGCTATTCCTGCCAGCTTAGTATCATCTGCAAATTTGGTAAGTTCCCCTTCTACTCCCTCATCTAAGTCGTTAATGAAGATATTGAAGAGTACTGGGCCTAAGACGGAACCTTGTGGCACCCCACTGCTTACTTCCCTCCATGTAGACTTAGACCCATTAAGGACTACTCGTTGAGTACGGTTTGCCAGACAGTTGCGAGTCCATCTAGAGGTGGTGCTATCTATTCCACTTTTTTCTAGCTTACTAAGAAGTAGGTTGTGGTCTACTTTGTCGAATGCCTCACTGAAATCTAAATATATTATGTCCACAGTATTTTGCTGGTCTACTAATTTAGTCACTGTGTTGAAGAATGAAATAAGATTGGTTTGGCATGATCTGTTTTTAACAAACCCGTGCTGACTGCTAGTTATTACTTTACTTGTTTCTAGATGTTGGCAGATTTGTTTATTATCTTTTCCAGTATCTTCCCGGGTATTGATGTTAGGCTGATTGGTCTATAGTTTCCTGGGTCTGTTTTTTTTTCCTTTTTTGAAGATGGGAACCACATCAGCTCTTTTCCAGTCCTTTGGTAGTTCCCCAGTGCTCCAGGATTTTTTAAAAATATGGTGCAGTGGTTCTGAGATGACCTCTGCCAGCTCCTTTAAAACTCTGGGATGTAATCCATCAGGCCCCGGTGATTTGTTTTCATCAGGATCAGACAGGTGTTCTCTTATTATTTTTTTGCTTATTTTAACTTTTATTTTTGGTCTGTCTTTTACAGTTATGTTTTTGGTGGGTTGAGCTATAGTTTCTTTTTGCGTGAAGACGGATGCAAAGAATGTTAAGCAGTTCTTTCTCTCTGTTGCCTGTTACTTCCTTGCCATCTTCTCTCTTTAGTGGACCGACTG